GGTTAGCCCGGTGATGGGTATTAAGGAGGGCATGTACTGCATGGAGCACTGGGTGTTATACGAAAACAATGGATCGTGGATCACCACATCAAAAACCAATGATGGATTGTATGGTGACTAACATAACATAATAAAATTTTAAAAAAATAGGCAAGACAGTATTAGGAAAGGAAGCAAGAATATATATGTGGTGGAGGGGCCACTGGCACTGCAGGTTGTCCAGCCTTATGATAAAGCTATATAGGAATTAAAGAAATGTGGTAATACAATAGGAAGTGGCAAATAAGATCAATGAAACTACATAGAAATGCCAGAAAAAGACCCATATACATATGGGAACTTTTTATGTGACAGGTGACATTGTAGATTTCTACAGTGGTCTGCTGAGTTAATGGTGTGGTACAATTGGTTATTTCAATAGGACAAATAAAATGCATTACTACCTGTGAGTAAAGATGAACAGAACCTTTTCTTCTTCCCACTGAGGAAATGATCTTGTGTTAGCCTTCCAGGACCCTGTTTCTCTGAAAACCTGATAAAGGTGGACTATCAGCTGTGTTACCAGGCGCATTGGTTATGGTAAAAATGACCCCTGGACAGGGAGGATTATGACCATGACAATAATGTCTTGTTGAGAGTACAAATGGGGTGAATGTGGGAATCCCCTTGCTGTGAGCCTGAGGTTAGGTTCATGAATTATTATAAGAGATACTGGTTCCTGTGTAACTTGAGATTTCTAAGCCAGGGGGACTTAGGTACACACCCATGTGGTCTCATTGCATCACACCTGAGCTTACACTAGAATGCTGTTAGGACTCCTGATGAGGGCAAGTCCAAGGCTGTCCTGCTGACATGTTGTGACTCTTCACCTGTATCCTTTTGCAATGCTCATCTGATACCGGGTGTGGCCTACTGGATCTTGTGAATGTCCAGTAGAATACAAGATCACTGTTGGTGGTTGAGCAGAGTGGGCAGGGTACACTTTACCCTGAAATTGAATCTAGGTGAATTAAATGCCCAAATATTAAAAACAAATGTTAAAAAATTTTGTAAAAATATTTGAGAGTTGGTATTTTTCTTACTCGCATAGGGAAGGACTTTTTAATTATTTTTTATTTTAATTATTATTTTTCTACTTCTTTTCATTTGAGTATAGTTGAGATACAATGTTACATTAGTTTCTGGTGTCCAACATAGTGATGCAGCAGCTCTGTATTTTAGGGTATGCTCACCACAAGGAAGGACTTTTTATGTTTTATATATTGCTCAAAATGGCAATTAGCTAATCCACTAGAATTTAATATATTTAGCAAACTACTACTAAAATATGTTAACTTTATATTTCAAGTAATCCTTATTCATGTTAGGTTAAAAACTTAGTAAGTTATGTTTTGACTTGTTCAGCCAAATGAATATGCTTGGTAAGAGTGCTGGGTAGTTGTTTACATCTTTCCATTAACATGCTTGTTTCTAAAACTGATTGTGTTTGGGTCCATGTTCTGAAATGATGGCTGTATGTATTCCCACAAGAGGTATTCCAGGTCTAAGAAGTTTCATGGAATAAACAAAACACACACACATGTGCGCGTGTAAACATATTAGCAAGAGGGGAAAGATTAAGAAGTTCTACACAGTCAGAATCGCCAAAAGACACTTCAGAAAAGATGAAAAGACATGGTATAGGCTATGGCTTGAAATGAGAAATAGGTATGAGATGAGGGTGGTCAGTTAGGCAGACGCCAGACCATGGAAGGCTGCCTGGACTTCGGATCTGCTGTTTCTTTTGCTCAGTAAGCTTCCCTTTCTCTTTGCTTAGCTTTTCCTTTTGTCTTTTAGGTACAGGGCAGTTACGTATCACCATACTCTGTTACTGCATTAACACCACCAGCTGTAATTTGTATGTTTGCTTGTGTATTTTCTTTCTCCTCATGAGAATATATGTGCTCTGCAAGGGCAGAACACACACCTCTCTTGTTCATTGTTTTATCCATAGCACTTAGGGCACTATCTGTGCATACTAGGTCCTCAGAAAAGAATTGTCAAATGAATGGATTAATTGAAGCAGAATTACTGAATCTTTATTTTAATGTGATTTTTTTCACCCTCTACACTCAATTTTTTTTTTTTTAATTATGCAGGACTCTGAATGCAACAGAATGGACTGAAGTCTATGGGGCAGTACAAAATCTCATGGCAGAGACAGTATTACTGTCTTAGTGCTTAGATTATATAAGAACTAAAATAAAGATAGTGCTAAGAATTTTGTATTTATAGTAAACCAAATGTGATAAGTACTCATTATAAGAGTCTTCTCTGGGCTACAGTGATAAGTTTTTTTTAATTGAAAATGAAGCTTATTTTTATCAACTTTTGGAAAATAACTTGAGTGATTCAATAAAAATTCACTTGTGTGTGCATAGTACTTTATACTCTGTTTTGACAGATTGTAAATATTTAATGGGGAGCAATACATTTCAGGTGATTTTCTAGAAGTGAAAATCACACTGACTGTGATTGTGGTTTTAATTCTATTATTGAAGACTTTATTACTCTTTTTAAGAAGCTATAGAAATCATATTTCTTTTAAACTATACATTCTTAAAATCATAGCCATAATTTTCTTTTCTTTCTTATTCCCGTAGGTTTTGGAAAATGCAGATAGCTCAGGGAAAGTAAACCGCTCTGTTCAGAATTTCCAACGCAGTAATTACGATGATCTTTTTAAAGATGCTACAGAAAGGTATAACCAATATGCTTTTTTAGTGAGCTTTCTGTCTATTCATGCTCATAGCTCTGTCAGTGGAGGCAGTGAATAATGGCCCTCAAATGTTTGATTAGTTTCTCAAGAGATAACTCTTTGTAGTAAGTACAACCTGATTTGGCTGGAAATTGGATGTATTTATGATCTCATAAATATGGTATTAACACAAGAAGAAGATACTCCTAAAGAATTTAATGTCTCTGTCATCTCAAGAATTATACAGTTCCAGAGTCTTTGTAAATGTGTTGGGAGCTATGGAGAGGGCAGTATACTTGAGGTAAGGTAAAGCACAGGACACAATTAATTCTACTAGAAATTATATAGGTTTCCAAGAAAGAAAATAATGTGCTAGAAACAGTAGAACTGTTAGCATGGTGAATTCTTGGCACTATATATGAAAACATTTAAAGAACCAAGAGAAAATAAATTTCCATTAGAAAAACAAAAACAATAACATTTGTGCTTATAAAATGTTCAAATTTAGGTGTTATATGCAAAATCATATCAAAGAAGAGAACATTTTAATGAGCCATATTTCCATAGAGATTTATAAGTAATATTAGCTGTAGTCACTGGAATAGCACCACATAATAATGTGTATAGTATAAAACTTGCATATACAACTTTCAAAAGTGCATTAAGTGAACAAATAATAATTCAAAAGGCATTTTCAGATCCTATTATATGCTAATAGTATAGACCAATTATTAGATGCTAATTATATACTAAGCACTGTATACAAATGCAAAATATTACACAGTTCTTGCCCTTTAGTTTATAGTTTAACTAGGGAAACATATATGTAAAAGACAAATTTAAATACAATGTAGTAAGTATTATAGAGCCAAAGTCCAAGGATTGTGAATACAGAAGACAGAAATGCATGGGGAGAGTTTCTCACCAGCTTCTTTGAATAAAAAATATTTAGGTTGGATTTAGGATCTTAAATAAGTAGAAATCTAGCAGGGGAAAAGGGAGGGGAGAAAATGTCAAGCTTGGGGAAGAAGTTTGAACAAAGATAAGAAGTTGTGAAAATATCTTATTAATGGTGAGAAATGTTATGTGTTAAGAGCTGTAGGGTACCTGTGAATTGGAATGCCAGGAAGCTTGAGAAGATAAGAGGTAGAGCCAAAAATATAATGTGGGCCAGAGTGTGAAGGAACTTGATATACGTGAAACCAAGGAGTGCATATTTTAGTCAGTTTGTTAGAATTAAAAGGAAGTACAGATGGAATTTTTCTTGTATTAATGCATATATCTGTCTACCCGTCTAGGAAGAGGATGGCGGGTAGCAAGGTGGATGATATCTGGCAAGAAATGGGGAACAATTAGATATTTATAGTAATCCAAAAAAAGATGAGAAGGAGAAAGAATAAGAAACTTGAAATGACTCATGGAAGCAAAAGAAAAAGGCATTTATTTTGTTAAGGTTAAAGCATAAGATGCACAAAAGAGATTAGTAGGGCTGACGATGAAAAAGTAGGAAGGGGCCAGATTGCCAGTAACTTAAACTTCTGTGAGGGACCTGGGTTTTTCCTGAAGTTGGTGGGCAGGTAGAATTAAATTTGAATTTAGGGAGAGTTTTCTCTAGACATTGGAGATTAGAACCAGAAATCACATTAGGAGGCTTCTGTTAAGTAGGGGTGCAGATGAAAGTGCAACAAGTAAACGGAATAGTGAGAAGCTGGAAAGGAACAGACAGAGTGTGGCTAGTATTTGAAAGAAAAATCTGCTAAGAGATAGAAAGTTGAAAAGGGTTTCTATTTTTAAGATCAGGGAGAATCAAGTATTCTTATGTTATGGAAGAATTTGTATATAGGGGAGATTAATTATATATATAAGAAAAGATAATTTTAGAAAAAATGTCTAGGAGACAGAAGGCACAGAGTTGAATATGGAAGGATTAATTCTGATCAGGGAGAAAGTAAGGAATAATTGAAAATGTTGATGTATCTAAGTACACATTTTAAAAAAGTAAGTTGAACGTGTTCTTGCTTTCTAGCTTACATTTTCTAGAAGGGGCTACATTTTTACAAAGGCAGAGAATTAAGATAGGGTCTACATGAGGATGGTGGTTCAGAATTAGCTGCTGTGGAAGAAAGGTAGAGGAAACTCAACAGGGACATACCAGTGTTTTCCAGATGGCTTTCTGTTGATATTGGAAACCCCAGTGACCTCAGTACTTTTTCCCCACAGCTGAGGTAAAGGAGGCTAGTTGATCCAAGATGGCTAGTTTGCAAGCCAGGCAAATGTGGGAAGAGATGGAGTTTGTGATCAGACGTTGGGACTTGGGAATGATCTCTGGAAGTGGGCCAACTCCAGGGACTGACAACAGAAGTAGGTAGCTGAACTAAAATGGAGATGAATGTCAACTGAATAATTAATATAGATTTTCAGAGATTCTTTCATGAATGTATATATTCTTTAAAACCATGAACAAATACATAAATTTCTTTTCTAGTGAGAGTGAGAGCCTATTGGCCCCCGGTGGCTCCTTTCTAAGAGAAAAGTGGAGCAGTGAAGATGAAGAGCTTGCAGGGCCGTCCCAGACCATCCCTCCTCAGCTTCCTGGTAAGACTTCATCCTCTTTCTATTAGCACATTCTTGAAGAGGCTATATTTCAGAGGTATGAACAAAGAAATTTCTAATATGAATGCAGGAAAGAGCTAAGAGAAACTTTTTTAGATGGGGAAAGCAGGGTTTCCTAGGGTTTTTTTTAAGAATGAAGAAAATGCTCCACACCCCACCTTCGTAAGGGCAAATTTCTCCCTTTCTTTAAATATTTTAATATATCAAACATGTCAATTTAATAAAATGAGCTATTTATATTTTCTTATACTAGGAATTACAGATTTGTATAGACTAGCATATGACCTCCTTCCTCATTTTCTTAATTTCTTGCACAGTATATATTTTATAAGTAAAATAGAAAACTTTTTTTTTGATTACACATATGTTGTAAGGAAGAAAGAAAATACAAATATGTATAAAAAATTATAATACTGAAGAATATTCAAAATTATGTGTGTATATTTATATTTGTATATAGTGTAAACATAAATATAACCATGAACATATCTAGATTTATACATATACAAATTATAAAAATTATAAATATAAAAACATATAAATTTCTATATATGTAAAATTTGTGTGTGTGAGGTTGGGGAATCCCATACCTCAAAAAACCTTGGAGCTAGAGAGGATTATAGAGATCATGCATTTCAACCTTAGATCAAGTGCCAGAATCATCTTCTCTAATGACTTTTTTAAATTTGGAAAATGTCAAATCTAATTAAGGCAATCTCACACTGTGTAATTATTAAAATACAGGTCTGACCCAAAAATAGATTACAAGAAAATACTTTTTAAATACTGAAGTATAATCTACATATGGTAAAATTCATCCTTTTACCATACAGTTCTGTGAGATTAGACAAGGGTCTACCACCACCATCAAGATACAGTGCATTTCCTTCACACTTCATATTTCTAGTATGCTCTTTTGTAGTTGGTCATCCCCTCATTCCACCACCAGCACCTGGCAACCAGTAATCTGATTTTGTTTGTTCTTGTTAGTCTTGTCTTTTCCAAAGTGTCATATAAATAGAATCATAAATATGTTATCTTTTGAGTGCCACTTCTTTCACTTAGAGTAATGCTTGATATTGTTTCCAATATCAAGCATTGCTTTTGTTGGTATTTAATTTTTTTTTTCTGAATAGTATTCCATTGTATGGCTGTACCAGTTTGTTTATCCATTCAGCAGTGGAGGGACATTTGGGTGTTTCCACATTTTGACAATTATGAATAAAAGCACTACAAACATTCACATACTGGTTTTGTGTAAATCTACGTTTCCATTTCTTTAAGGTAAATATATCTAGGAGTGGGGTTTCTGAGTCATAAGTATATAACTGATAGACTGTTTTCCAAAGAGGCTGTACCTGTATGCATTTTATCTTTTTTCCTCCTACTCTTTTCTCTTTTTGTTTCAGTTTAAGGTAATTTTTAGCAACTCATCTGCAAATTTATTGACTCTTTCCTCAGCTTTGTTAGTCTACTAACAAATAAGCCCATTTGAAAACAGTCTTTAGCTCTCTTACAAAGTATGTAGGTATGTATGTAGGTATGTATGTATGTATGTATGTATGTATGTATTTATTTATTTGAGAGACAGAGAGTGCACTCGCAAGCCAGCATGAGTGTGGGTTAGGGGAAGAGGGAGAGGGAGAAGCAGGCTCCTGGCTCAGCAGGGAGCCCTGTGTGGGGCTTGATCCCAGGACCCTGAGATCATGACCTGAGCTGAAGGTAGACTGAGCCACGCAGGTACCCATCCTACAAAGTTTTTTATTGAGAAAACTTCCATTTGACTTTATCTTATAATTTCCATCTCTGTTCAAATTCCCTATCTATTCATGCATTTTGTCCACCTTTTCCATAAGAGCTTAAACATATTAATCATAGTTATTTAGAATTCCCTCTCTCATGATTTTAACACATGGGTCATTTCTAAGTTTTTTTCTGTAGAATTGCCTTGGTTTTTTTTTTTTTGTTTTTTTTTTGACAGTGATTTTGTCATTGCTGCTGCTGTTTCTTGTATGTCTTGTAAATTTTGATAGGGTGTTGATGTTGGGTGTAAAAGAGTAGAGATTGAGGTACGTAGAATTTATGCCTGGAAATATCATGCCTGTTCTTCTGCTAGGCCATTAGTGTAGGTTCTTGATTTAGTGTGTTTGGGACATGAGCTGGATTTTGGTTTTGTGTTGCTTGTCATTACCTACAGTGAACTATTGATTTAGAATTTCTCACGATTTAAATTGTGCTTAGTGTGGCAACCACAATGCTAGAGAGTTTCTCTTCACATTCCTGTTCCATCCTTGGCTTGAAGCCTTCCCTGTGTACCTGTGGTTCAGAAGGGCTCTTCCCCACCCTCATGCCCCTGCTCTAGGGGTAGCCTGGTGCTGGTTGGCCTGGACAGGAGGGCAGACTTCTTTGTGGTCATAGTCCAGTCTCTCCCTTTGGCAGGTTCTCTGTTCCTGGTTGTCAGGGGAGAGGCTTTGTTAGTGATGCCGTCTCTCCTCACTATGGCATTCAAATTCTGCTTTGTATTTTTGGCAGGTTTACTGTGGGAGAAGGTTTCCTGTTCCTTGCTTAGTGGTAGGAGACTGGTGATAGTATCGTATAGGATCCTGAGCTCAGGACCATTTTCTGCCTTTCCTCCAGGAGTAGAGTGTTTTTCTTTAGCCTTTTCTAACTGGATTGGTTCTCTACCTGTGCACAACAGGGTTTGCTGCTAGTCCTCCTTCAGTTGAAGACTTTTGTTCTCTGGGGAGGGGGCAGGTCCAAATAGGGCTTTATACATTTTCCACAGTGGCAGTAACTCTTCTCTAAGCCTGTGCCACTGAGGGAAGAATTCCTTCCATTTCCAGCTCTGTGTCCACTTTTTTTTTTCTTTTTTGTTTTATGAGCACCTATTGGAGGCCTGTTGAGTCTGCAAGGGTGTTGTAAACTCTCTAGTATCTGTGGCTTCCCAGAATTCTGTGCTCTCACACTAGGCCACATTCAGCCTTCAGCAAGATATTAAGGGTTTTTTTTAATCTGAATTCTTCTTTTCCATCTTTTGGAAATACTGTAAATTAACCCATTCCCCTGTTGACTTTTTTCCCTTTACTAATCTGCAACATGTATTCTTTACATATTTCCTATGTACTAGTGCTTTTTTTGTTGTTAGATTCCCTTGGTAAGTCAAGGTATATATTCATTTTGTATTTTAATAGATAATATCAGACTCCTTTCCAGAGGTTAGAGCAATTTATTCTTGCTCTAGCTGTTTTGAAGGGTTCAATTTCCCATATTTTTATCATCACTAGATAAGCCTTTTCCTAAATTTTGCCAATCTGATGAATGAAAAATAGCAGTTTCTTGTTACTGTAATTCACATTATCCTGATGGCTAATGAGAACGAGTATCTTATTGTTTGTTTATTAGCCTCTTTCATTTGCATATTTGTATCCTTTGCCATTTTTTTCTTATTATTTTGTAGCAACTCTTTACATTTTGGAAATCCTAACATCTTGTCTGTCTGACAAATACAAATTCTTCTCCTGCCCCATACCTAAGAAGGGAGACTTCATAACCACTGTGGTTTCTAGAATGTTTAGAAAGTTCTTTACTGGAAGAATGTACAAATACTCAAATTTCTCCCAGAATTTCCATTCCTTCCTTCCTTCATTCATTCATTTTTACTTAGATCACTAATCTGTCTGCTGTTAATTGCTAAGTATGGTAGACCTGTAGAAAATGGACTAGACAATTATACCAGCACTATTCACTAAGCCACTTTTCCCAATTAAATTTAAATATACATTTATCACATATTAAGTTCCCCAAAATGTTTGTATCCTTTTCTGTTCTCCAAACTTTTCCACTGATTGTCTTGTTTGTTCCTGTGGATATATTATTCTGTTTTGATTATAGTAGTTGTAAGTCATATCTAGAAAGGCATATCTTCCCCTTAATTTTTAAAAAATAAATGTAAAGGGGATTAAGAGGTACAGACTTCCAGTAATAAACAAGTCATGGGGATGTAATATAAAGTATGGGGAATGTAGGCAATAATATTGTAATAACTTTGGTGACAGATGGTAAATAGACTTATTATGGGGATCATCTCATAATATATAAAGATATCAAATCACTATGCTCTTGAAACTAATAGGATATTGTATATCAATTATATTTCAATCAAAAAATTTTACAGGCTATTTGGGCTATTGCTACATATGGTGTTTTAAATTATTTTGTTCATTCCCATGTAAACCCTTTTGTTTTTTGGTTTTTTGTCTTTCCCCAAATTTTTATTTAAATTCTAGTTAGTTAACGTACAGTGTAATATTAATTTCAGTTGTAGAATTTAGTGATTCATCAATTACATATAACACCCAGCGCTCATCACAAGAAATGCTCTCCTTAATACCCATCACCTATTTAACCCATCCCTGCACCCACCTCCCCTCCAGTAACCCTCAGTTTGTTTTACATAGTTAAGAGTCTATTTCTAGGTTTGCCTCTCCTTTCCTGCCCCATGTTCTTTTGTCTTGTTTCTTAAATTCCATACGTGAGTGAAATCATATGGTATTTGTCTTTCTCTCACTGACTTATTTCTCTTAGCATCATACTCTCTAGCTCCATCCACTTCATTGCAAATGGCAAGATTTCATTCTTTTTAATATGGCCAAGTAATATTCCATTGTGTATATATATATACATCACATCTTCTTTATCCATTCCATTCATCAGTCGATATAAATTTGGGCTCTTTCCATAATTTGGCTGTTGTTGATAATGCTGCTGGAGGGGATCGCTTCTCGGCCTTTTGGCTAAGATCAAGTGTAGTATCTGTTCTTATCAGTTTAATGCTGCTGGGGTACATGTATACCCACATAAACCCTTTTGAAATTCAGATTAGAGTGGCATGACATTTATATTCATTTGGGAAATATTGGCATTTTATGATATTAAGTTTTTCCTTCTAAGTAAAGAATGAGGTGTGTCAGGAGATCAGCTATTGTGTGTGTGAACTACAAAATGGCTATTGCTTCAGGTTCACCTTCCAAAATCTCACATAAGAACCTCTCTTGTCAACCATCTTAACTGAAAACATTTGGAAAATAGAATTCTTGGAGAAGTAGTTCAGCCTAGCCATGTTGACATATTGCAAAATGACCACAGTCCATGTTTTGTCAACTTGGCACCCATACACATCTCTTTAAGCCATACCTAATCTCCAAATAAAAACATTATTATTCCATCTATGATGATACAGTTAACCTGTGGGCAACTGAAAACATGCTCTCACCCTGTCGTCAAAAGAGGATATAAAAATCTCCTTTTTGGTCTTTGAGTGATGTCTTTCTTCTTCAGCTAATTAACACTCCCCCTTAATATCCTGTAAAAGAAAACAAAAATATTTGGCTAAATTATATATTTGAATGTATATGATCTATATATCTATATGTATATATATAAATATATATATATCAAATATTTATATTGAAAAAGATTTACCTGTAACTATTACATCCTCATTTGTGTAACTGGTTGCAAGGTTGTAGCTGGTAGATGCTTTCTTCTACCCATTCCATATTCTCTTTGACCTCAGCAAGCACCTCAGTTGGTTGTGGTTCCTTGTCTGGTAGGGTGACACAAACAGACATCCCTGAAAAGTCTAAGCTAGTAACAGTCAGTCTAAATTTAATTGTTATAGTTTTCTATTGACTTTAATCACTGTAAAGGCACTCTAGAAGATCACCTGCATTCTAGACATACTCCTTCTTACCCTTACTATTTAGTAGAAACCCAATTTCGCCTTGATAATTAGAATTAGTTGTATCGAGGGGAGGAGCAAGATGGCAGAGGAGTAGGAGACCTGGATTTCGTCTGGTCCCAGGAATTCAGCTGGATAGAGATCAAACCATTCTGAACACCTATGAACTCAACGGGAGATCGAAGAAAAGAATAGCAACAACTCTCTGAACAGAAAAGCGACCACTTTCTGGAAGGTAGGACTTGCGGAGAAGTGAATCCGAGGCGATATTCGGGAGGATAGACGGCAGGGGAGGGGCCTCCATCGGCCGCTTCTGGCAAGTGATAGAGCCACGGAGCACAAAATCAGAACTTTTAGAAGTCGGCTATGCTGAGGGACGTCGCTCCAGTGGCTAAGCGGTGGTGGAACTCTCGCTGGGACAGTGTGGTCTCAGGACCTTCGGGGTCACAGAAAGACTGGGGGTGCCTGAGTGCGGCAGAGCTCCCAGGTATCGGAGCGGGGAAGCCGGCTGCAGAGACGGAGCCAAGGCGCAGGCTCTCAGCTCAGGGTTGCCATAAACTGTGATCCACGGCACAGTCGGGCCACTGCTCCTCCAGCA